GGGGGGGCTTATTTCACGAGAATGAATTTGAGAAAGAACTGTACTTTGTTGCTCTTACACGTGAACTTGATGTGCCCTTCTCAACCCTGGTCTACACACACATTGTGGCTTTCTCAGAAATTATCATTGATGGTAAACTACTCTGCAAATTGGGCACTTAGAAGTTGTTGAGATTTTGGTAAGGACGCTTCTCTGTTTCCTGTTGCATCATCTACCGATGTGGGAACATAAGTGTGTTTTTTTTTTTAAATAGCAAACAGATGAAAGTATTACCACACTCACCTGAATATTTGGGAAGCAATATGAACCCACTGGTGATATTTTTCAATGTTCTCCTCAAGAATTTGGCAGGATCATTCATTGCCTTCTACAAGCAGGGGGTGAGCTGCTTCCTGCTCTTAGTAGGAAATGCAGTTGATTGTTGCTTGGCTTTAAAGAAACAACGTGAAAAAGATCTCATCCCAGCTCCACCAATTACTGCTTGGGAGACAGATGGGCATCTCCTCTCAGGCAATTTGTAACCTCTGAAATTCTGCTGGAGGGTCAACTATAAGTCAGTTCAACTTGATGTCATGTAGCAAAAGCTTTTGTAAGAAATGAAAAATTTCCTTCTCCTGTTGCACTTTCTCCTCTCTTCGTACATTTTATTTCTTTTTCTTGTCAATGCCTCAAATGTGTGACTTGTTTTCCACAAAAAGTCTCTCTCTCTCATACACACAGAGAGAAAAAGAGAGTGTGTCTCTCCTCTCTTCTCTCTCTCTGTCTCTTCTCTTTTCTCCTCTCTTCTCTCTCCTCTCTTCCCTCCTCCCTTCTCTCTCCTCCCCCTCCCTCTCCCTCTCCTTCTGCCCTTTCTCCTCTCCCCTCTCTCCTCTCTCCCTTTTCCCCTCTCCTCTCCTTTCTCCCCTTCCCTCTCCCTTCTACCCTATCTCCACTCCCTTCCCCCCTACCCTCCCCACCCTCCCTCTCTCTCCAGGGATTTGGTGGGCCTTTTCAAACCTGCCTTCATACCTAGATTTTCTCTTTTATAACAATCCCCAAACTCGACCCACTGCCATCTAGAGAATGCCAACCCATAATTTTCAGAGGAGACACATCTTCACTGCAGGTGCTTTAAAACTGTTAAACTGTGTAAAAATTTAAGCTTCCTGCATTTTATTTTCTCTGCTGGAATTCCTGTGTCCTTTAAAGGTTGTGTAAGAGATTGAGAAAGAGCTAGTTATGAGTTTCAAAGCTCTCCAAATAATAAAAATTAAAGATGAGAACAGAGTACAAGGACAAACGCAGTGGTCTGCTATGTGTTCGTAGTTAAAAATTCGTGTGGAGAGATTGAAACGCTGCATGACTGTGACAAGGCTGAGGAAGCCTTCATCGAGAGCTCCTAGATGTGTTTTTGGTAAGTGCCTTTCTGTTACAGAGTGGCCGCTTGCCTGGGAATGTTTAGAGTTATCTGACTTGTAGATAAGTTAAATTTCAAGGCTTAGGTTGAGGTGAACTGAAGGTCAAAAGCCCCTGCTAAAAGGTTGGCTCTC